GTATATAACAATAATATTCAGTTTGCTTTTAATTTACTGATAACAAAATCAATATTAGTACCAATAAAAACAATATTTAATGATCTAGTTACAGTGTTGAATTGGTAACCTTTTAGAATAAGTTTATTTAAAGGATCGATAAGTTTACCACAATCGTTTCAAAATTTTCGGGCACGGTAAACAGTATTGCCGTAAAAATGAGGATGTGCGATCCAGTTTGAAATAAGTTTTCTACAGGTACAACCAAACTTCAAAACCAAATCTTTATATCGGTGGAAGAATTTAGTAAAGGTTTTACGTAATTTGTGGTAACGAAATCCCTGGCTAAATAATTTACCAGTAATACATAGATTACGTTCGTTAAAATCAAAAACGTCACAACAGACACGGGCATAGCGAACGAGTTGTGAAATATAAACATCGTAAGATGGTGCCAAAGGAACATCACTATCCAAAAAGGGAAAATTAACAATAGGGAACGAAAAATCGTCCCTTTTGTCGTAAATTTTAGTGTGGAGTTTCCTGTGTAAAACCGAAATATCTAAATCTAGGAAAGGACAGTTGTTACCGTTTAAATTTGATTTATTTAAAGTTAGTTCCTTTGGGTAAATTTCGGCAGTATATCGAGACAATTCTTGATTATTTAACGAAAAAATATCATCAAGATAACGGTAAGTGTTGTTGGATTTATCAATTAAACGCAATTAAGACGGGTCTTTACTGAGTTTGGTCATAAACTGTGATTCATAACAGTACAAAAACAAGTCTGCTATTAAAGGGGCGCAATTAGTGCCCATAGGAATACATACAACCTGTCGATAAACTTTGCTGCCGAAACGTACATAAATATTATCAAGGAGAAAATTAACAGCTTCAATCATCTCATCGCACCTCCAGTAAGTATATCTAGCATATTTACCTTTCTCATTAGAGAAGAAGGCTTTAAATGAGTTGCAGCAAATATATTTGCATTCAGATTTACCAAACGACCATTTAATTAAATAGTCAAATTTTTGTTTGATAAGATTGTGTGGAAGTGTAGTGTAAAGAGTAGAAAAGTCAAAACTGTCAACAGAATCAAAAGGACCATCAAAAGCACGTAATTTATCTAAAACATCCAAAGAAATTTTTACACTCCAAAAATAGTTAATTCCACTATTTTCATATATTTTATTACAATAGATTATAATGATAAGCTCTTTGATAGTAGTTAAGGAACTTGTTAAAGCACTGAAAGATTAGTTGTAGAACACTTACTAGAGGCCGAGATGAAACGATATTTTACTGGTTTTTTGTGTAGTTTAGGTAACCAATACATAATAGGGACCTTCAAATGTTCAGAAGAAGCCTTAAGCTGTGATGTGGTTATGATATGTTTGTTAACTATATGACTCTCTGTGAGGCGAATGAACTTGAATGTAGATGAATTTAAAATTTCATTCTTAAGAACGTCCGTGTAGTATTTACACGGCATGTAAATGTTGTCAAAAGACGCAGACCTTGCAGAAGACCAATAGTTCCTTTTTATAATTGATTTAGTAAACGCGGACCTCGAAGAAGATATCCATTGACTTGCCTGTTTGAAACAATATCAAATATTAACAAAAAACGTTATTTAATCATAATAATCGATCATAGTTTCTGACAACACTTCATCGAACGCAAGTCATCTCATGAATATTATTGACGGCTCATAAATATTATTGAAGGCTGGCCTCATGAATATTAACGCCGGCTGTTATCGACGGCTAGCTTCACACTAGTCAATTAATTCCCTTTAATTCCTTTCTTTCAGTGTACGTGTAAATTATATTTGTTAATTTACTAATGTCAAACTTTAAAGTCAAAGATGATAACTATTTATACGAACCGTATTCATATGGATTGTTTGAGTATATGTCCAAGTTTGAAGATGCATTTATGTCATCGCTTTTGTTCAATCTCTTTATTTACAGTAATCGCAAAATTTCTATAATTTTATTTAATCAAACTTTTATTTATTATTGTAGTTTCAGTTTACATTATTTCACTAATCGCAAGATTTCAATGAATTGTTTCTTGGTTTAATGTGTATTTTGTCCTCAACCTTTTTATTTACTTTCATTTCAAATGACGCGGACCTTGCAGAAGACATCTATTGATTTAAGATTTGATATTTATTGCTATGAATAACATAACCACATAATTACAGCATAAAATTATATTATTGTTAATAATCTATTAATTACCCACACCACTTCATCGAACGCGGCCTTATCTCATGAATATTATTGACGGCTAGCCTCATGAATATTAACGCCGGCTAGCTTCACACTAGTCATGCCCCGACTCTAAATAATATCTACTTACTTACTTACTTACACCTTTTCTTTTCTACAGATATAAATGCTTTAATAGATATAATCAGTATTTTCATTTTTGGTGTTTCGAATTACAAATATTTATATGGTGATATTCGAGGATGTTTCCATACCTCAAGACTTTTGTAGCTTTAAAATATACAGATTGTCCATTGAATTTTTACAGTCTTCTAAAAAATGTGCATTTTTGTATTATTTTTTTCTTGTGGGTTATTCCCCTTAGACCCGGTAGAGCAGAATATCTGATTATATCATGTCGACCTAAGTACAAACACCTGAAAATTAGAATCAAACATTAATTAAGATTTCAAACTCAGATAAGTTATATTACTTCCAGACAACATAAGATCAACTGTTTATTTTAACTTGTAACTTCTGAAATCTTCGAAATAATTCTTTACTAGTAAGAATCAAAAGAGATGTGAATAATATTTCCGACAGAATCAGATGAAATAATTTTTTAAATTGTCTCTAGTTCATGTAATAAACTATCGAACTATTGGACAATTTAAAGAATCGTTATCTTGCGTAGTATGTGTTTTTTGTATTTATATTATTAAGAGAAAAATAGTTTGATGGAACAGGTTGAGAAATGTATCAATTGTATAGGTTTTTTCTTAAAGATTATTTTTGTTGGATCATGCAATAAATAGTTCCAGTCCTTGATAAAAACTGGACAAAATGATGAAAAAGGTTCATGGTTCAACACTGTAATGGTACATGTATCATTTGACAAGTTCTTCTACAAAATACAATTATGTGTATACTCCGGCCGTATACATGTACTAGTATATGTCGCGATTAAGTGTATTTTCGTGCAAATTTTAATTTGTTCAGATTTTTGTACAGATATCCGTATTTTACCACGAAACTTCTTTCTCTACATGATAGAAGTCCATCTTTATTAATTGACCAGCTTGAAGTTTTTCTCACAATTTTATAACTTTGACCTAGCATTAAGCAATGTCCTCTTTAAAATAAAGATGCAAATGAGTACACTAGATTGGGTGAGTATATGTATATAGATATAAGAAGATGTGGTATGAGTGCCAATGAGACAACTCTCCATCCAAGTCAAAATTTATAAAAGTAAACCATTATAAGTCACAGTACGGTCTTCAACACGGAGCCTTGGCTCACACCGAACAGTACGCTATAAACGGCCCCAAAAAATTACTAGTGTAAAACCATTCAAACGGGGAAACCAACGGTCTAATCTATATAAAAAACGAGAAACGAGAAACACTTATGAACCACATCAACAAACGACAACTACTGAACATATATTTGTTTTCGTTTATACCAGATTTAAAGTTCCAAAATATCTTGCTCCTATATAATCTTTGTATCAGTGTTATGTATAATAGATATAAGAAGATGTGGTATGAGTGCCAATGAGACAACTCTCCATCCAAGTTACAATTTGTAAAAGTAAACCATTATAGGTCAAAGTACGGCCTTCAACACGGAGCATTGGCTCACACCGAACAGCAAGCTATAAAGGGCCCCAAAAATGACTAGTGTAAAACCATTCAAACAGGAAAACCAACGGTCTAATCTATATAAAAAAAAACGAGAAACGAGGAACACTAATGAACTACATCAACAAACGACAACCACTGAACATCAGGTTCCTGACTTATGACAGGTGCAAACAAATGCAGCGGGTTTAAACGTTTTAATAGGTACCAACCTTCACCCTTACCTGAAACAATAGTGTAACATCACAACATAGCATGGAAGTATTCTAACGTTTATAGTACGTTCACGGTATAAGGCTATTATATCTTTGGTATAAGGCATGTAGTCGTGCAAATATAACAGTAATAAGCTAAATCAAAGACAACGTGCTTGTTTTATCCAAGTTAAAAGGTTCATACAAACCGATTACTTGTACAAAAATTATGTACAAATCATATAAGATCAAAAGAATATTTTTATCTTTAATAACAAAATATATTTTTGGTGAAAAACAAGACACTTAGATGAAGCTGTTTAAGTCCAAGAGGTCGTACGTTGTTCTTTTTCTTCCATTAAACTCTCGAGTCACATTCTTAAAGATATATTTATCAACTTGATATAATATATTATCCCTAAACTGGTCCGCCGTTCCATCTATAGCTTCGCACCGAGAGTGTAGCGATAAGTGAACACAACAGGGGTCCAGTTCATATTATCCCTAGAAATTATCTTTTATCTTTTAATTCTCTTCAAACATTTATATCTATATGTCCGAAAGAATGTTTCTTTCTTAAAAAAAATATTCGATATTCGTAAAAGCTGGGGAAAATGTTTCATTCAAAGGTCGAAATTTGATAAGCTTAAGTCCTAACGTTCAATAAAAAATTATTTTTATTAATAAATTTTATCTAATTAAAATTATACATATATACAAATCCCTTGTACATGTAGATTCAACAGATTTCCGATTCCCACTGTGATCGTGGATCTACGTCCTCGGGCAACATATCATATTTCCAAAGAAAGTCGCCGCGATTATCATTACCCTAAAATTATCTGTAAGAATTTTGATTAGTACATATGTCTCATCTGGAAGTCATTATACCCTACTGTGCAAAGTGTTTTACAGTTAACTACGAAAACATTGATTGTTCGGCAACTTGCAGAACAAGCAGACGTTTGTCACTCTATTCACGTGCATTTTGTGCACGTACTCCAATCGCCTGTATATTTTACAAATGGTTAAACAAATATTTCAGCAATTTACCAAATCTTCAAACTGATATATAATTATTAGAAAATTATATTAATTAGGCGGGAAAATAAGTGTCGTTATTTGATAATCTGACTTTTGGAATTTACTATTCACACTGAAGTAATGTGAAATACATATGGTAAGTTGTTATTATAAGTAGTGTTACAGATAGGTTAGTCTGATAACATACAGTGTATGCAAATACGCCTGTATTCGTCACTTGCGATTTTTCGCTACATATTTTCTTTCAAAACCACATTTTTCAAATAATTTTTGCGGGATACTTGTCGGATTTTAATCAACTTGGTACCCTAGAAAGAAAATTGTTGCATCATGTATGCACACGTTCATTTGTTTATTTGGTAAGTCTGATATAAACCTACGTTTTGTTTCTTGTCAGGAAACTTGCTTCATATAGTAACTAAATAGAAGACATTCTTAGATTTTAAAAAACCAATAAAATCACAAATTCTTGCTGACTGCATTGTCGTCCCTCCTTTCAAAATGAATTTTCAATAACTTATGACCGTTTCAGTAAAGGTCAACGAAGGTTGATACTGGGATACTGGAACCACCCGATCTAACTCACTTTTCCACGATTTTTATTAAACAATATATTAAATGAAATCTGATTTTTTGGCATAGAATAATAAAAAAAATTGAAAAATAATTTTAAGAGGGCCATCTAACCATCACAAACACTTATCATCAGCGCTTAATGTAATGAGATTTTTTTTTACATTTATATGTTTTTGTTCACAATTCAGTTGTCATAAAGTATGTCCAGATATAATTATGTTAATTTATCAAAATTGTCACAAAACGAATTTAACCTTTGTGAAGCGAAGTTGTCGGTACATAATTTCGCAAAGGTTTATCCTATGTCACCAAATAAACGCTGTTTACACCAGGGGCGGATCCCAGGTTCGAAGAAAGTGGATACGTAAATATCTGTTTGTCCAGTAATTGTAAAATATCACGGAGTGAATTTTTCTACAAATAAATGCAAAAATATGATATTTTTTCGATCACCCCGCACCTGAATTGGCCACTCTCTACTATATTTACTTCCCATTTTCCCGAACTAGTATTAATATATAGCAATGTAAAACTTTGGCCTTAATCTGGGTGTTGGCAGTTTTTTTAAACTGTTTAGGGAGAGGCGAAAGATAACAAAAGGATATTCAAACTCATAAAATCGAAAACAAGCTGACAACGCCATGGCAAAAAACAAACTGACAACGCCATGGCAAAAAACAAACTGACAACGCCATGGCAAAAAACAAACTGACAACGCCATGGCAAAAAACAAACTGACAACGCCATGGCAAAAAACGAAAGACGACGGAAAGGCAAATAACAGTACACAAAGCACAACATAGAAAACTAAGACTAGGAAAAACGAACCCCATCAAAAGCTGCGGGTGATCTCAGGTGCCCCGGAAGGGTAAGCAGATCCTGCTCCATATGTTGCACCTGTCTGTTACTTAAACAGAAAACATTTTCGAAACAAATGTTTCTGGTCATACATTGTATAAAAAATATCTTCATTAAATTTACAGGAATCCAAAAATTTCAGAAACAATATGTTGCATGTGTCAAACTTTGACTTGTCAGTTTACAGAGGCACCTTTGTAAAGCTATCATCTTATATTCATTGAGATTAAGTCTTAAAATTTTCGTTTCAAATTTTATTAAATTGTCTATTTTTACCACTAGTGAAATGTACATCAATGGGCGTTTTCTATTGTTTGATTTTATTTATGTTATGAAGAGAGGGATTATTTCTACTTTTATGTTTACTGTCACATTTGTCAAGAAATGCCCATTGGCTCCATTCAAAAAAGATACATGTAGTATGTGGTCAAAAGATCATCCTTTGAAAAATTCTTTATTGTGTATAGTCCGGCTCGATCCACAAGACATAAATATCAATGATATAAGACATATGAACGGAATGTATATAAGATGTAAATTTACTTATAATTGACATCTAAGTATCATATCCAACGGAAGCCATTTTTTAAATAAACTTCAAAAAGATCAAATGATGTTTTGGAAAAATACTCCCGATAGAATTTTAAATTTGTCCCATGTTATCTAAACAGTTTCTCCATTTCGTTTATAAAGCTGTTTTCCCTTACCGACAGTCGAACACAAAATATCCAAAATCGGAAAAGTCAGTTCGGATCATTTGACTGGTAAAACATTGAAATGTCTGACAAATTTTGCTACTGTCTGACATAAGCGAGCGAATTTTTCAATAGAATTATACGATTAGACAAACGAAAACTGTATTTTTTACTGACACATTTCAAACAGTGTCAATCCAAGTGTTCCATAAGACAAATTTTATTCAAGTCTTTACCCATCACGTTAAAATATCATAAAATATTGAATGTTTATCGTTCTTGGCGTTATAAGAAAAATTATGTTATAAATACAAAAATCAATATGAATGTTTTCATTCATATACATTTATGTAACAGTTGTTACAATAAGTCGTGGAACTGCTTCACTCGGTATGTAAAACTACAGCAATACTATTAATAATATACCTCGCAAAGTTAATTTTCTCTAGCATGAATTATAAACTGCAACGTCTATTAGAAGCAACTCCTAAACATATAATTCCACGACTTTGGACCTTTTCAAACCAGACAGACGGTAGCGTAATCGATTTGAAACTCCAATCCTGCAAACATCCAGCCGATACACATCACTGCATCTAATCATTTCTACTTTCATTATGATGTGCAGTTCGATAATTTAATTACGCATGGTTGATAATGTTTTTACATGTCTCATATGGTTCGGTGATGTCTACAATCAATATGATGATAGTCTGTTATTATTTTGAATTCTTTATTGATTGTTATACTTTCTCGTTTTAAAGTCACATTGAAGGACAGGTAATCGTTATTACAGGTAAGACGTATGTTTGTCAAATCGCCGGTATCTTATGTAATAAACAGGTCATGGCGGGCGTCTGGTTAAACAAGTCCTTGAGCCAGCAATTTTAAAGATTTTTGATCGTACTTATTTAAAAAAGTTCAACCGTCAACAAAGTTTCTTTGTTTACTTGCGTGTACACACGCAGTTCGTAAATGGAAGTAAAAAATCCCGTTTCAGTTTTGTCGCCGAGATGCCTTTTCAGAATAATCCTATGTCAAAAATATTCTGCGCCAGAAGGATACAAAACTTCTCTAGTTGCAAACTTCGAATTTGGGTTACATCTGACTGCGTTGAAATCGTGTATATTCAAAGCAGAGTAATTTTCTATATATAGTCCCATCATGACTAATCTATGGTCGGTGGAGTATAAAGTCTTAGAGCATAGGAACTACTGGACTGAAAATACTTGACATTTTTTCATACTGTGTGATGCCATTTCGAATTTGTAAATTATAATACCGTATTTAAGCAGTAAATATTTGTTCTATCTATACCTATTGCTCATGATATATATACCCATACCTACCTAGCCTTACCCTACTTTTTTAGAGGTAGGAAAGTAGGGTTTTTTTGGGGTTTTTTTTTTTGCCTGATGGAAAATTAACTATCTGTCACAGGCGATTGTTGTTCGTCATTTTGGCCATCTCATTTAGTGTATACAGATCTGTTTCCCACCTCTTCTACATTTTCCGGAAAGGCAAGATTGAGATGTCCCGCTACAGGTGTATTTTAGAATAAAACATGTGCCAGCATTATCTAGAACAGTTTTTCATAAAAGGTCATATTTTTTGTTGATTGATGGGCCAGTTAAGGTTTATTTGAATTTTAGAGTGCATTTTAATGTTAATTGCATTTATTTTACATTCAGTGTGTAATCTACATAGCAATTCATGTATAAATCCTGTTTACAAGCACCTTAAATACAAATATGCATTTATAATATAGATATATACGAAGCGATACTAGAATGTCTTCTCTGGACAAGTGCGTTATAACTTTATCTTTTGACAACAATCAAAATTATTTACCTTCCAATGCTTCAATTATCACATGTTTACTGATTTTTTTTTCTAAAGAATTTTGGACTGAAGTTTGTCGATAGGGAATTTCAATCAGTTTGTTCTGCTTTTAGCAAAAACTTCCATTGAAACCTTTTGATGAATGACTATTCCATCAACAGAGGTCAAAAGGAAATCTTTCCTAAAGTTGACATTGTGTGGATTTAGTTTATTTCTTTATATGTCCCTGCTGGTTAAACAGTTCCTCAAGTTTTATAGCATTTATACATAAGTGTATTTTTTTTTCTCTTCGACCGTTCTTGATGAAGTTGAATCCAGAAAAACACTTCGGACAAAACAAATTTATGAAATATTGCTTTCTTTTTGATGGATTTTAAGGCATGATTTGTATGCCTTTTTTTTAACGGATTCCGATTATCGGATGTAAAATCAAAACAAGACCATGCGGCATGATTTATAACATACATTGACGACAATTACATAAATTTGCATTTTAGTTCCAGTTGATTGTTGTTCTTATTTTGGGACATGTTTTCGTAAGGGAGCTACCATTTGATTTTTGGGGGGGGGGGGGGGGGGGGGGGGGGCTAGGGTGAAAAATTTTGTCCTGCATTTTTTTAGTTGTAATCTCTGTCCAGCCTTTTTATTTTTCACTCTATTTGGTCCTGCCTTTTTTTGTTAGTTTATCCTGCCTTTTTTTTTGCCAAGTTGCTCAACCTGCCTTTTTTTTTACTCAAAACTCCTGTCCTGCCTTTTTTTCAAATCCCCTCCTCCCCCGATAAAAATCAAATGGTAGCTCCCTAAGTTATTAAATTGAGTGAATAATTATATTATTTGTAATACACCTATAATATCAATCCCAAATCTTTTAAAAAGTCCAATATCATGTCAAATCTTGTGATTTTAATAGACAACGCTGTCATCCTGCGGCTAAAATCAAAGGTTTTTGTATTACATAAAACTGTAGACAAACAATTACCTTCAATGCATATGCATAATACACTACTACCGTGTTTAGAACAAGGTAAGTCAAAAATCTATAATTGCACTACTAGTATACGTATTTTATGGACATTTAAATCCCAAATACCGTGACAGGTTTTTAAAGTCAACCTACCATTCAAATTTAAATTTCTTAATGTTTTTCGTAGGTTAGACTACTCAGTGTATTGGGAGAAGCTAGCGGAACGGATATTTTCATTGCTTATCAATGGAGCATAACCAAGAGGTACGTCCGAATAGTGTTTAGTGAGACCCACATTCCTGTTTTGATTGGTAAATACTGATTCATTCATACATAAACTATTGTACTGATTTATTTATTGAGAGATTTAACACTACTGTGTATTGTATAGCGTGGGTGACACATTTGCATTTACTTTGATAGAGGACCGGTGCATATATTTTCGTGACAGTAGTAGCCTGGATTTATTATGTGAAGCTGCAATTATAGGATACCAGACTGCAGTATAACCCTTTCGGAATAATAACGTCAAGCGCAAATCAATTCAAATAAGGAACCTTGGAGTACATATATGCAAATTATCTAGTGGATTAAATCAAAGATTTTTACTACTAAAAAGGAAATGAGTACTCAATTGGATAACTTAAGGTAACAAAACTAAACTTTTTGAGATAAAGCGATAAGAGAACGAGTTTATTTAATCTTTAGGCTTACACGTAAACATTTAAACTTCATTAAATTGGTTGTTTATGTAAACGATTCGATAGTCTGTAGCGATCTTTTTAGTGAAAGTTTCGTTTGTTTTTGGTTATGTAATGAAATCCATTTAAATAGAGAAATCCAAAATCGTTGATTTTCCAATATGGGGTTTGTTCCTCTTTACTGCTTAATAGGGACACTGCTTCTTGCAGTCCCTTCCGAATCTTTCAGCATGAACGGTCAGAAAAACTCTTATACCAGATTCCCAAAATGGAATGCATGTGTCAATGCTTCCATCACTTTCGAATTCAAAACGGATCAAGCTGATTCTCTTCTCATGTATACTGACGACAAAGGCGACAACGTAACAAATAATTTCTTTATGGTCGTATTAGAAGGAGGTAGTGTGGTACTAACGTACAAGATTGATGATAAGATGGACGGTAGCATCAATATCAAGCTCGGACCTGGTATGAACGACAATCGCTGGCATACTGTGAAAGTTCAGAGGAACCGTCTAGAGACTATTCTGACTGTGGATAAGAATTCAGATAGTAGGATATCTTTAGACGAAGATATCCATTTTGCTCACATCCCGGAAAACAACGATGTATTCTTTGGTGGTCTTCCGCAGGATCATTTCCGAACGAAGCTGAGATACTTGGCATTGCCATCGGTCATGTTTAAAAACGTTCTCCGAGGTGAGATCCGAAATGTTATTTATTACAATTGCACCTGCAAGCCTGTGCGAGGAGAGATGCTCACAAGCCAAAATGTGGATAATCGTCGACCAGAAGCTTGTGAGGCCAGAAACCCGTGTGGTGAGGCTCTGTGTGTTAGCTCTGACAGAGGGTCACAGTGTAAAGTGGTAGATAACGGATGCGGAAGTGGTAAGTACTATTTTATGGTTTGACGATGTCGGAGTCGAAGCAACCAATATCGTCGCTCGACAAACAAGAAGTTCATTTTTTTTTCTTTGTTTGCAATATAGATAATGTGTGTTGCTTTAGGATAATGCTGATAACAAAACTGCAGGCATACTCCATATTTATTTTTATATAGCCAATTAACTACGTGGTTAGTAACGTTTCTTGATTGTTCATGCGATTTATCTCTCCGGTTTTCAGCAGCTTATTTTTTTTTTTTTTTTTTTTTTTTTTTTTGGAAAAGTTGCTGACATACAGTTCTTTGTATTGGTCTAAACAAATGCACTATTCAAAATTTTCGCTTAGATGAAAAAAAATATTTTGCACAGTAAATTTATATCCCATGCATTGGGGCTATTATATACCAAAACAGGATATTATAACCCAATTGGGTGACTTGACTCCAATCTGTTAATATCAAATTAACTACTTGTTAAAAAAATTAAAGAATTTAGTTACGAACTTGTTACACAAATAGACAAAAAGTTTTGACAGCTCTTTGAAAAGCTAGAATAGTTCGTTAGGAACAGTAAATTTAGCCTTTTGTGGCGCCATAAATGCGGGTGCTTTATTCAGGGGATATTATCTGAGGGATATTTACGTAAGAAGTTTGGATGTGTTGTGAACCCTGTATTTTATAATATATACACAATTTTATTCCTATTAAAGTGTTTTATATAAGCCATCAACAAGTTACTGATATGATACACAATTTTCTTTCTAGAAGTCGTATACAATTTTTGTGCTATTGACTCGGTTCCAACATCATTAACGTCTTAACTGCCAACAGAAAACATTTAATATGTTTGGTTAACTTCCCATTATATACATGTTATTATTTAATAGTAGATAAAATTAATCAAATAAATGTGAAATGCTAAATTTTCACACGTATACATAATCTATTCTGTCAAAACAAACACCAACCGTCCTTTTTTAAAACAATAGCTTTTGATACTTACAGCATGATGTCATTAAATGTATTTGGTTTTAAGTAATTGCATATATCATGCTTATCCTAAAATGAGGTCTAACTCTTGAAAGACCTCCCCCCCCCCCCCCCCCCCCCCCCCCCCCTTTATAATTTAGCATTAGCAATAATATCATGATATGATTTAGAAAAACCTATTGTGCTAACGCCCTCAGCTGTATATCTAATACCCCTGTTTGTTTTTGTTAGTTATTGAAAGTTATAATTTTGCATTTACAATAATAGCATGGTATATAGTCATTTCAGATAAACCCAATCCATCAGAAAAACGCCTTCAGGTTTATATCTAATATTTTCATTTCGTAGAACTTATCATGTAAATGAAAACAAATGTTTCATTTATATAGGAAGTATCACGATGAACCGCATTTTTTGCCTATTTTCTGCTTTGAAAATTCTATTAATACGATAATAACCATACCGGTATCGAGGGATGTTCCGGCAGTCAGAGCGCCATACAACACCATCGGAGACATCCTGGCTACGGGCCTGATAACACATAAATAGTAATATTAAAATTATGATTTTAAGGAAAAGCATTTAAAGATGAGAAAGAAAAAAAACTTTCCATGGCAAACCTGGGAACAGTATATCTAATCGTCTACAAATAGGTAGTGTCAAGTCCCGTCAATATATATGTCCTTAAGTCTAATATCAGAAAATACAAAAAAAAATATTATGTACTCAATTTTGAGTCCATTTGAAAATTCAATTTTAATGCTTGCATAGAATGGAACTGAAAAATCATGCACGTTAGCCATCGCAAGCTTACCCGTAATATGAATGAAATATCTTCTACTGGACGTCAGGTCATAAATCAATCATTCATATATACAATCTAGACCTTTAAACGTTTAATCCTTATCTTCGAATTTTCTAGTAATGGCAGGTACTCACTACTGCGAGGAGAAAAGGCTGTCGTATTACAGTGTTCAGTGAAAATATAAGAATTTAATATCGAATAAGAATGTGTCCATAGTACACAGATTCCCCACTCGCACTATCATTTTCTATGTTCAGTAGACGGTGAAATTGGGGTCAAAACTCTAATTTGACCTGAAGCGGGACAGACGGCCGAACGGACGGCCGAACGAATGGAAGAACGAACGAACGGACGGACGGACGCACAGACCGAAAAACATAATGCCCCTCTACTATCGTAGGTGGGGCATAAAAAAAATCCACTAGTATTTTTTTTTCATGTACAAACATACCTCCAGTTGTCTAGAAGGATTACTTCAGCAAGGAAGTCATAACCATGATAAAGGAGAATAAATTACTATTAATGAGTAGCCTTTTGCATATCATGTATACTTTTTTAAATTATGTGGGTTTTTGGGTTTTTTTTTATCTCTTAAATTGAAAAGAAAATTTCGATTTGTTGACATTATGTTTGTATGCTACATGTATATCGATTAAATAACTTTCTGTCGTGTAAGACTCTCGACTTCTTAGCTGAATGCTTATTTGAAGTATGTGTCCCATATTGGCTGAAAAGATATATATACAAGTCTAAGTTGAAAAAAAACGTTCAAACCTATGATTGCGTTGGATAAAAACCGCAATTTTTATACATGTGCATACAAAACAAATTTCTTGGTAGAGGGGTCTAAATACAGCACAAACAACATTTTCCCAAAGACCAAAAAAGTGAAAAATTATATTGTAACAAAACGCATTTGACTAGCAGGTCGAACAACGGATGTTCTTAAACCCTGCTGACTGCCATTGGCGATTGCCAAATAAACGGATCACCAGATGTAACAAAATGGATCTTAACTATTAATTTAATACCAAACAGAAAACAATAAACTTGCGGAAAAGATTGTATACCGCAAACAAAAGGTGTAAAAATTAGTACTCCATATCCGGATTTCGACAATTAATGTCTCTTCAGTGATGTTAGGAATCGAAACAGTATTTGGAAGGCCATATAATTTACCTCAATTTAGGATAGACTCTTGAATTTTGAAGAGTCGAAATAGGATGAACGGATCATATAGACCCGAAGGCAAATATAATACAAGTCCAAACGAAAGAAAATAAACAAGTCTTAATTGAAAAAAACGTTCAAACCTATGATTGGGTTGGATAAAAACCGCAATTTTTAATCCCGATTTGTATGTTTGTTTCAAAACTTTTGCTGGGGGATAAAAATCAACGAAAATCCTTGGGAAAAAATCTCTTGCAAAATTGTTAAACTACCGATAATGTATGGCTCTCACCAAACAACAAAAACATGAAAGAAATGCTAAACTCCATCTAACTGAGGGCAGAGGTCTCATAACTTTTCAAGTGTTCATTTATTATCAATAGAAATGTTATTTCTTTGTTTTCTTTGGTGTTTATTCTTTGTCACAAACAACCATGTGTTAATAAGACAATAAAAAACTGTTTTTATTTTTTAATATCATTTGATCATGAACTCATTGCATATGAATTTTCACATATTTTTTTTTTACAATTTCCGGCACTCGATAATAAGTGTACGCGTCAGATAACATTTACAATTAGGCACATTTTATTTTGATTATTAAAAGTTCATATAAACATATTTTTCGATCTATTAAAACCGCAGACATAATTTGTAAGCTAAATTTTTCGGTTCAGAGATTGTGTTTAATAGACATGATTCAGACTTGTGTAGGTTTTACATATAATACATGTACCTTTTTACACATGTACATGTAGGTGCAGTTCGAAATGACAACACATGATTGCAGTCTATACGTGTACATAAAGACTGATAGACGTGCACATTTAGGTCGCGAGATATCGACAAATATTTAGTTGTTATCGAAAAAATTGATAAGAAAGATATATACTAGTAGCCTTAACCAAAACCAAAACCAAACTTCTGTCAAAAATAAAGATTAATACATGTATGATGTTCTTATATGTAAATAATGAATTGAGAAAGATTGTATTAAAATAGAGATTAATGCGGTGCCTACATGTACTGAATAGAAAAGAATGACAAAATAGATAAAGAATGCGGAAATGAATACCCCTCCCCACAAGCAGTTGTCTCTGAAATTTTAAGGTATAGATGATTTTTTTTTCAGAAACTAGTGCCTGTGCCCTCCCTCCCCCCTTTTTTTTTCCCAAATTCTGACCCTCATAAGTAAAGCTATATACATGCATTGTCTTTCAAATTTTGTTTTTCGCTGCAAAATTTTAAAAAAGAAAAACTTTTACAAATACAGTTGTGTTCAACAGTTCTATGTTAGCATGTATAGTGTAGACCTTGATAGAACGACATTCTGGTATTTAGAATAGATGCAAAGTAGTTGAAAATATTTCAAGTTTGATTTTGTTTCTTTTTTATTCCATATTCGGATTTTGTTGCAAAACAAAATGAAGGGAAGGTCTCAGAATTATAAGTCTTCAAGTTCATTTTTCATTTACTAAAACTTTTTCAGTTCGTTGTGACAGTTGAACATGTCAACCTGCGATGTGTATCAACATAAATACATTATATTTCCATGTTTTATGTATAATTAATGAAGTGTCGAACTGTCACACCTGTTAAATATCTACCTACCTGTAAAATTATCTTTACAAATATTAGGATCAACATAGATTTAGTTTTAAAGGCAAAGGAAGGTCTTTACTTACTGGATATTAAGTCTGACAAGTGGATTTAGAATTAGTAGCGTCTTAACACTGCCCATCTTGTTTATAATGAATATATACAGTTTTTTAAGAACAATGTGTCAATGTTGTTTTTCGTATATTGTGTTTTATATAGCAATCACAACACAGCTCCTTTTTTTCATTAATTTATAGAAGATCTTTGTTTTTTTTCTATTTTGGTCTGAACATTATCAAACAAAAGAAGTTTTACGAGAGAAAAAAATCACAGTCGTAACAAATTGCAAATTCCTATCTAAAATTGATGAATCAACAACATTGTTTTTTTCTAAATTATGCATTAAAACAGCCTCATCGTTTGAACAAGTCATGCTTATCG